CGCCCCGGCGCCCGCCGCCCGCCGCCGCCGCCGAGTCGGAGCTCACTTTAATACTGCGCGGAGTCCCCGCGCCCGGGGGCGCCTCGCTTCCCGCCCCCTCCCCATCCCTTCGGGGCTCTTGGCCTGGGAGACCCTAGCCCTACGACCTGGCTTTGTGTGATGGCCTCGTCACCACTGCTGCCCCGGGCACGTCATAAATCCGGGGAGAGGCCGGCCAGTCGGTCCCAACCCCGAGAGCGAGCCTCCCATGGAGCTGGCCAGCCACGGCGCCCGCCCCGCAGGTCGCGCCGCCCCTGGGTGCTCTGGAGGAAATAGGCCAGTTCCAAGTCCCCGAGTGTCTCTGGTCGCCCCGCTCTGATAGTGTTTGTATTTTCTTGTTTTACAGCAGAGTTTCTCTTTCCAACTTGACTCCCCTACACTACACGACTGGTCGTAGTCTGCAGGCTCTGGTGCCTTGGATTTCTTAAAGGCTGTTTTTCTAACTTGGTATTCATTTATTTCTTCATTCTGGTGTCTGAAGACAGGGATCGAAGGTACCGAGCGCTTAGCCGGGCTTAGTTCTATGCTCTGCCGGAACTAAGGACGTCACTCAAGAAACCACCACCAGACAGAAAACTGAAACCAAATCCTACCTCCCCACTTAAATGACTTATTGTAGGGCCCATGTCCAAGATGCCAACATAAGAGTTGGGCAAGCTACTGTTGACGACTTCAAGTCAGAAGGCATCCCCTTCCTCTCCAGTGTGGAGGTCTTTGATAGTCTTAACGTGGCTTTGGGAATGAGCTCATTAGGACAACTGTAACTGGAGAATGGTTTATGTCAAGCAGAGCCCAGGCTTCTGATGTTCTTAGACCCCACTGGCCCTTTGCTCAGGAGCCACACAGGATAATTTGTTGAAGATAATCTACCTGCCCCTACTCTCTTATGGGTACCTTCCTCTCCAGGTTCCAAATGTACCTCCATTCCTTGCTTGGGAGACAGGATTTCCTGAAGTGGATGCTGCTCTGAGCACCTAGGGGCTATTTTGAAACCCAACCCTCCCTCCCCCCGCCAGGATGTAGATGAAGGGAAATTGGGACAGCTCTGGCAGAATTTAGAGACAATTTATTCAATAGGCCACAAACTCCTCCTTGGCCTACTCCTGTCAACTCAAGTTGGCTTTTGTTTCTCTTTGGCTACCCTTGGTCAAGAGAACCGGATTTCACTTGGAAAGAGAGGTTGGGTTAGGGTGGCCTGAGTACACACTGTGATTTGTTTCAGGCCTGCCATTCCTGGGAGTGAGCTCCAGGGCAGGGAGTGACTTGCAGGGTTGATAAGAGGGAGGCAACCTTGACAGAATTAAGAAAACCAAAAGGGAATGGCAGCTTTTTTTTTTTGTTTTGTTTTGTTTTGACCTGGCCACCAATGCATGTGTGAGTATAGGGAAGAACACAATCTTTATAGTTTGATTTTTTTTTCTTTATGAGAGAGATACAGATTATTTCAAGAATTATTTTATTTAATATTATTTAATTTGACCAGAGAGAGAGAGAGAGACCAAGCCACCAGGCCTGGGGCTCAGACCATGTTTGGCTATGTGGGAGTCCAGTGCCCTTAACCACCACACCACCTGCCAGGCCCAAGATGGGGATTTTTGATAGGATCTCCTTATGTCACAATCCTCCTGCCCCAGCTTTCTAATAAGCTAAGATCACAAGTGTTCACAGCTAAGCCAGGAATGTTCAGGTTGGCCTGAGAATCGAACCCAGGCGTTCCATGCAGTGGTACTATCTATGGGCTACTATGTTTGGGCCTGTGGTTCAACTGTATAAGGAACTGTTTCTCAACACTGAAGAACATGTCTAACCTTTTCATGGATCTTTTCCATCAGGAACAAGACCCTGGCTCTCTAGTGACCAACATTTTTCAGGGAAGTAGGAACCAGAACAAAGAGTGGTCATGACTGTATCAGTAACACTTGCCAAAATAAAACACAAATATATAAGGTGCTTGTTATTTACAAGTAAGGAAAATAAATAAATAAATAAAGGAGCCATGACCAGCAGATGGCATAATGGTTTTGTCTCTGGACTCCCACATAGTCAACTGTGGTTGGAGTGGCATAAAGCTCACGCAGGCGTATGTGTGTGTATTCCCAAAATCTGGAGGAGAATGGAAAAGGGACTGTAGTGTGGCCATCCCCTGGGAAGCGGGGGTGCTTTCTTTTTCTCTGTCTCTCTGGGAGCGCACAGCCCTACAGCAAAAATCTCTCTCAAAAAAAAAAAAAGAGGAAGGAAGGAGCCAGTTGGTAATGTTAAGGTGACTGGATCCCATGAGGTCGACTGTGTGACTGGAGCCCCAGACCTGACGACATGAAAATACACAGGCGTGTGTGAATGCGTGCCCAAAATCCTAAGAGAATGGGAGAATGGAGGATTATGGTGTAGCCATCCCTTGTGAAGGGTACTCTCACTCTCTCAGAGACAGCTCTGCTGAGTGCACTTGCCCTACTGCAAACTCAGAAGGAATGAAGTTCATAGAAGACAAATCCAAATGCTGAGAAATGCGTATTTTCAGTGAGTGACAAAACCAAATCAACAGAAGACTTAGCTACTGCCCTCAGACAAGATGGAGAGACTTTTGCTACTGGATCGTCAGAAAGGCTGTAAGTTATTGATCTTGATGAGTGTCATGAAGTAAAGGGCTTGTGGAGATCTCTCATAGGTGCAAAAGCTGGATACTTAGGTGGCCCAGAATGAGAAAGTACCGGGCTGTTGGAAAAGTCACGATGTAGTTTTTCTATGCAAAAATGCAAATGTGACTTTTCTGACAACCCAATATTAAAGAGCTCATTTTAACTCACTGTTTACATTTGGATAACTAGAGGAAAAAGTTTGGTTACTGAGGAATCATTTAAGTCAAATAATGATGTGCAAACTTTAGAAAAGTTGGGACCACACTGCCTGTAGTGGCCCAACAAATCTGGGAATCTTCCTAATTACCTTTGTTACCAGCCAGGAATGTTTTGTACATTGGTTGTCTGGAGTATGGGATTTACCTCCATGGGATATATCTTGTCTTAGGTAATGCACTTTCCTTTGATAAATTAATTTCTCCATGAAAACTCTTATGCCTTTGTGAGCAAAAATGTAAGGAGATATGTCAGACTTAGAGCTTACTTCATCTGTACAAGACGTTGTCCACGTATTGGACAAGAATAAAAGCAAGGGGACAATGTAAGATCCTTGGTGTCCTGGTTGAGCACTTGCAAAAAAGTAGAACTCTCGGCCATGGCAGTCCAAGTATACTGTTGATTTTCCATAGTGAAGACAAATAAAAGCACTGTTTTTGTTTTTAATTATTTATTTATTTAATTCCATTTGTTATTATTTTTTAAGTTGACCAACAGAGACAGCGAAAGAAAGGGAAAGTAAGAAAGCAAGCCGCCAGGTGCAGGACTCAAACTGTGGTCAACCATGTGGGAATCCAGTGCCCTTAACCACCACACCACCTACTGGCCCCCAACTACTTTTGTTTAAAGAGACACCGAAGAAAGCACAAAACAGATTACAACTGTAACACTTGTAGTTTCCTAAACCCTTGGAGGTAAAATAGATTTGAGTTTTGTACTCTAGGGAAGAATGACCATTTTATTGATACTGTTATTGTTATTAAAATAATTAACGCCACAATCCTCCTCTCAAGATTTTGGGCATGCACACACACATGCTCAGCATGTCTTCCAAGCTGCCCGGTTCCAGGACTAGGACTGTGCTGTTGGTCACATGGGATCCAGCTGCCTTCACTATCATGTCACCAGCTGGCCCATGCTTCTATCTTTATTATTTCACTTACTGTATTTGCACTTCTTTGTATTTCCTTAACAGTCAGGAAAGGCTAGGTAGCAGTAACAAACAATCCCCAAAATTTCAGGGCTTTCGGCAGCATCATTTATATTTCACTCATGTTACATCTTCCATCCAGTTTAGTTGCATTCTTCTCCCACACTGTCTTTACTTAGGAGTGTGGGCTAGAGAGCAGCCACTGTCTAGGACTTTGTTAATCACTATGGTGGAGGGAAGAGACAGTATGGTGAACCATATGTTGGCTATTTAAACTTCTGCCCATATGTGACACACAGCTCTTTTTTTTTTTTTTAGTGTGCTGCAGAGTGCATGTGCTTGCCAGAGAGAGAGAGAGAGACAGAGAGAGAGAGAAGGAAAGTGAGAAATCATGCCTGTAATCCCTTATCTATTCTTCTCTAGGGATTCTGGGCAGGCATGCACATGTATCCAGCATGTTTTTCAGGCTGCCATGTCTGGGACTTGAACTAGAGTTGGCCACATGGGAATCCTGTGCCTTAACTACCATAGCACCTGCTGGCCCAGCTATTTTCATTTGAAAAATCCAATTCCTGCAATGCTAATTTTTAAATTATTTATTAATTTTTGCTATAGGGCATGTGTACTTGCTGAAGAGACAGAGAAAGGGAGAGAAAGAATGAAAAATCACCTCCCAGAAGGAATGGTCACATTGCAATTCTTTCTCCTCTATCAACTTCTTGGGATTTGGGGCATGCATGTACGTGTGTACATGCCCAGTGTGTCTTCTAAGCCACCCTATCTGTGACTCTAATCACACATTTAGCCAAATGTCCTAGACACCTTGCCACTGGATGGTCCCATCTTCCCTATATTTCTATCAATGGAATCTTTTTTTACATATTTTTTTAATTTTAATTTTTTAGAGAGGTTTTTGCTACAGGGTGCGTGCGCTCACCAGAGAGACAGAGAGAGACAGAAGGCAAGAAATCACCCCCCAGTGGGGATGGCCACGCCACAATCCCTTCTCCTCCTTTCTCTTCTCGGGATCTTGAGCACACACACACATGCGCCCAGCCTGAGTTTAAGTCACTGGGTCCGGGACTTGAACTGTGCTGTGATCGAGTACATGGGAGGTCAGCGACATAGCCATTACACTAACTGCTGGTCCCTATCATTGCAATCTTGAATATACTTCTAATAATCAGAATTCCAGGTATAAGTCAACAGCTAAAGAGCTACTACTATGAAAAATAAAATTTTGGGTCAGCCAGGTAGCATGGTGGTTAAGATGGTTGAAAAATGGTTAACCATGTGGTTGGAATCTCAGTACTGGCAGCTTGAAAGATACACTGGTGGGACCAGCAGTTAGTGTAATGGCTATGTCGCTGGACTCCCACGTAGTCGACCGCGGTTC